ACTAAATTGAACAAGGTACCTTTTCTAGGAAATGGTGTTTTTAGGTGATTGATATCTTTACAAAAGCATAACCAATTCTTTATTTCAGAATCTTTGAATATTTTACGTTCCTAGTTACTTTTAATACTAAGTGATGAATCTAAAATTAATAATAACTCAACACCTCAATAAATGATAAAATTTTCAACCAATAATAATAATAAATTTTGAAAGTCCCATAAAAATCGGGTAGCGACATGAAAGTACTTTTAAATCCAATATATATATATATATGGTTTTTTTTTATTTTTATGCTTTTAGATAATTTTTATATGAAAATGTAAAAATTTCAAAAAATAAAATAAAACTAAAAAAAAGAATATAGGTATATTAAAAATCAAAGCACAAAAGGTTTTCCCAAATACATACTATACTTGGTGTGATATTATGGTAGATGGGTTTTGGTATTCTTAATTATGTCATACCCTAATGATGCCGTTATCATCTTTTCATGCTCGTTTGATTGTTGTGGATGGTGTATGCTTGAAACTCGAATTAAATTTGCTAAGAATCAAATGGTCCGGTAGATGCTAACATCGTTTGTAATGGAAATAATTTGTTAAAAAACTAGTTTAATTCAAAAGTTTGAACTATTTGGGTGAAGCTACAAGAATTGTAAATATTATTTAGTAACATGTTTCTTCAATAAAAGTTTTTTGAACATGAAATTTACACGATTTGCTACAACCTTGTGCTAAAGTTTAATTTAATTAGAAAGAATGGAATTATAGGGTTTGAAATTGTGACTATTTGGTTATCAAAATTCTAATATTGTATCAAATAATCATCTTAATTCAAAAGATTAAGTTGTTTGAGTGAGACCATAAAAATTTTTTTATATTACTAACTACCACTATCAACTTTGTGAGCAACAAAATTTACTCCCTTTATGCTTTTTTAATGTCTATATGTGGCTATTAGGGATGGCAATTTGCCCTGTCCTGTTTTGTCCCTATCAACATAAGGATTTTCCACGTTGATAAAGGAACGAGATGGGGCGTCCCGTGAATCGGGATGAGATTGGGATGGTATTTGCTCACCCCGCTCCGTTTGCCTCATTTTATGATTTTCATCCCTAAAATTATAATTATACCCTATATAAAATCTCGTGACTAGTGACTTTTAGGGTTTATTTTATATATAAACTATCATTTTTGCTATATTTTTATATTTGATAGTAGAATGGGATAAGACGAGATGAAAGAAATTAATAATTTTTTTATCCCGTTTGCCTTGTCGGTGCTCTACGGGGATCTCCATCCCTATTTGGGATGGGGATGGTATAACAAATTTTGCCTCGATTGGGACACAAGGCGGGGATGGGGTAAAATTTTTGTCCTTGTCCCCGCCCTCCCCGCCTCATTGCCATCCCTAGTGGCTATCTTGTTTGGTTACTCTTTCGTTCATTAGCCACTTTGCTTCTCTCTACTTAAAACAATTAAATATTTCGATATCATTTTGATCACACACACACTCACACACGGATATATATATATATGTATGTGTGTGTGTGTGTGTGTGTTTGTGTGCGTGAAGGATTTATTTATCAAAAGGAGACAAAGCAGGAGCTTACCTTACCATAAAACAATAATTATTCTTATAAAATTTAATCAACTAACGACCAATTTCGATAAACATTAAAAAGATTAGATTTGGATATAGATTTTTATAGAAGTATTAGAAATTCTATATTATAAATTTTTAATAACCAAATTGTTACATAATAATATAAGTAATATCTTAGGATCTCACCCGACACTTTAGTTTTTGGATTAAGATAGTTATTTGATATGATATCGGGACCTTGTTAACGTAACAATCAAGAGTTCAAATTCTACCGCTCATACTTTCTCTTCTAAATTCTTAAAAATAATTAAGCACAAGATAGCATTGGCTTGTACAAACTTTAAGCTCAAACAACTTTGAGTTGAGAAAGTGTGTTAGAAAATACTATAAATCATATCTTAAGACTTTATACAATAGTTTAAGTTTTTGAATTGAAATGATCTTTTGACGAATTGAAATGATCTTTTGACACCAACCAGCTTACATCAATCGAAATCTCGCTACGTTTACTATGTAACTTGTTATTCATTTTCTTCCAAATATTATAAATAGTAACACAACATGAAATTCTTAAAAAAAAATTAAACATATTTTTTTCAAATTCTACTTCATCGATATGAATTTAGTATTCTTGTCATCAACATGCTTGTTAATTCCATTAATTCGTATAATTCTACCTCAAACATTAAGCATAAAGTCCTAATGAACCGAGTCAAAAGCCTTCATTTTACCAACTTTCAAAGTGCAAGAAGCGTAGCTATTGCTTTTTTGATATCATTTCACCATTTTCTAAGTTAGCATAATATTATCTCCAATTCTCCGACCATGAATAATCGTAGATTGATTAGGACTAATAAGATGGGGTAAAAAAATCCATAATTTATTAGCCAAAATCTTAGAAATATATTTGTACAAGATAAAGCAAGCACGAAATGGGTCTAAAATTTACAACCTTCCTAGTATTAGGCACCTTAGGAACTAGTGTAACCGAAGTAGCTTTCATTGCTTGTAGAAATTTTCCATGCTTGGAAGAGATTGAGCACTCGTCTCTATGACATCTTCTCTAATAATACCCTAACTATTCTTATAAAAATATGCGGAAAAGTCATCAAAACCAGGGGCTTTACTACCATTAATAGAGAAAATCACTTTTCTAACTTGTTCAAGAGTGATAATAGCAAGCGAGAGAGCACGATGAAAAACATACAAGCTAGGAGGTTCGATATAGAAATGGAATGTTCATGCTCGTCCTTCTCTCATACCTTTTTTTTTTCAACATTTTTAGGATTGGAAAAGGTCAAAATGAAAGAGAAAGTTATAGAGCATGGAAAACGAAGATAGTGATAAAATCAATTGATGGCCAAAAGCTAAAGATTGTAAGTAGAGTGGTAAAAAGAATGTTTTTTACGGTTAAAATCACGATAGAGAAGAAGTAAGAAGCGAGTACAACGCCTTTAGTTTTTTTATGTGTAATATTTTCTCTCTTATATTACATTATAATACTGCGTACATGTACAAACTTATTGCCACGATAGATAACCACAACTAGTACTAGATACACGAAAGGAGTCTATCATCTAGTAATTATCTTATCATGCTCGTAGCTATACTAGTACATGTAGGAGACCAACGCTACCGGAACTTAGGCGGATGTGTGAGCTTGTAGGAAGTACGGCTATTGGAACTTAGGAAGAGGCGTGAGTCGTAGGAAGTGTAGATGTGTTGGAGACCTTTGTAGAAGCGGAAGCGCAGAGATGTGTGAACCTTGGGCTTGTCTTAACATTCCCTCACAAACCGAATGGGGTCTCGTACCCACGGAGAGTTTGTCACGTAAAAAATGAAACGAGTAGTGGATAATGGCTTGATGAGTATGTCGGTAATCCGATCCCGACTAGAGAGGAATATAACTTGAAGTTTCCCTTGGACACCATGTCCCTAACCAAATGAAAGTCAATTTTTATATGCTTGGTCTATGCATGGAAGAGTGGGTTTATCGCTAAATAAGTAGCCTTAATATTGTCACACCAAATGATCGGTTTTGAGGGTAATATCTCCCTAAGCTCGCCAAGGAGGGAAGTTACCCGGATCGGCTTAGCGAGCTAAGTCGGCAACGAGTCTTGTACTCTACGTCGGTGGAGCTCCTAGCAATTGTCTTTTGTTTAGATGACTTCCAAGATACTTAATTAGGACCAAGGTAGATCGCATAACCATTTGTAGATTCTCTATCATCTAGTGAATTAACTCAATCCGAGTCCGAAAAACCAATAAGGGCGCATGACATTTTTTTGCAATGATGAAGACTAAGAGATGTCTGTGTGCTTGAGATATCTAAGAATTTATTTGGTAGCAATCTAGTGGTTGATGATGGAAGCATACATGAATTGGCACACTTTTTTGATAGCAAAGTGATGTCCGATCATGTAAGAGTGACTTATTATATAGCCCTAATAACTTGTCTATACAATGTAATGTCTTTAAAGGCTTTAGCAAAATCTTTTGTCAACTTGGAGCTAATAGGCATTGGGGTGGATACCGACTTGCAATTGGTTATACCATACTTGGCTAAGAGGTCCAAAATGTATTGTTGTTGTGACAGTAAAATGTCATTCTTAGTATGAATGACCTCAATGCCTAGAAAGAAGTTCACGGACCAAGATCTCCGATGGTAAATTTTGAGTTCATGGTTTGAATAATACGCTACAAGAAAGAAGGATCATTCCTTGTAATAATAATATCATATATATAAACCAATAAGAAGGCTCGTAACTAGTGGAATTGTAGATGAAGAGGGAGCTATACTGTTTTGGAACCCACAAACCCAAAATTAATCAAAAAATTCGTGAGGCATGAGAAACCAAGCTCTAGGTGACTTGTTTGAGCTCGTAGAGTGATCCGTGCAAATGGCGGACATGATGAGGATAATTTACATCACAAAGCCCGTTGGTTGTGTCATATAAATTGATTCGATCAAGGTTCTATTCAAAAATACGTTATGAACATCCAATTGATGGATTGCCCAACTCGAATGACATTGTAAGGGTTAGAACACACTCGATTGTTGTGGTTTTTACCACCGAGGCTAAAAGTTTCTCCATAATCCACTCCCTCCTTTTGATTTTACTCCTTTGTAACAAACCTAGCCTTGTGTCTTTCGATGCTTCCATCTCGCTCATTTTTTACTCTTGATTTGTCGCCAATAATATTCATAAAAGAAGAGGGAGGAATCAAAGACCATATACCCGTATGAAGGAGAATTGAGATTTTAGTTGCCATAACCTCACTTCATGGTAAGTGTTCGCATGCTTTAGAGTAGCAAGAGGGCGATTTAGGAACAACGGGTTGAGTAATGGCAATAGAGACATTTAACTTACTAATTTTTCATTCCATGGGTTATCATGGGTCGTGTTCGTGGTGGTTCAACTGGTATAGGTTATGTCTTTGATTAGTCTAATGTGTGTTCTTGAAGTCTAGAACAAGGTTTAATTCATTAGGTGAAGTTGGTGGGGATGTATGTTGGGAGGTAGCGGGGCATTTTGTATTTGAAGAAGAAGCGAGGGAGGGGAGGAAGAGAGATGAGGGTTTGTGGCTATGATGTGAGTGTGATAAGTGTTGGGTGAGTTGTTTAGTTAAAATCATGAGCTAGGCTGGATTTATTCTTTGGGTTAGGTTATGAGGGAGAGGCTTTGGTGGGGCAATGGTAACGGAGTCGGGAGTTGTGTTGGGTGAGGGCCGTGGGCTTATGTGGTATGTTTGGCGTGGCGGACTTGATGGACTCGGTGGGCATGGGCTGATCTTTCATTGGGTGTATGTGGGGGCTTATTAGGCATGAGAATTTTGGTGGTGTAAATGACGGTTGGACGAGTTCATGTGGAGGGACGATGAGTCGTGTCTTGGGGACGGAGTTATGGTGTTGTATAGGGACACATGAGAAGGGATTAGGGACGACATAGAATGATGATGACTCGCACATTTAACAAAAGGATGGTGAACTGGACGAGCAAGCTCATAAAGTGGAAGAAGAGGCGACTTAGATCGAAGTAAGAGTGGAGTTAATTTATGCTACAAATGGGAAAATTGTTTCAATGAAACGGATATGACGGGCAATGTAAATACGATTCGTTTTTCTATCAAGACATCGATATCCTAAGTGGGCGGGGCTGTACCCAAGAAAAACACACGGGATGGAGCAAAAATCTATTTTATGTTTGTTATAGGGACGTAAGAAGGGAAAACAGAGACATCTAAAAATTTTCAGAAAGGAGTAGTATGAAGGTTTTTTGAAAATAATTTGAAACAGAGATTTATACATGGTTACACTTGAGGGTAGACGATTTATGAGGAAAATAATAATTTCAAACGCATAGTGCCAAAAACGTTGAGGGACACTCGCTTCACCTAGTACGGTGAGGCAAGTTTCCACAATGTGACGGTGTCGTCTTTCAACTTGTCTCGGGAGAAGAGGATATTCTCATGGTGTGTGGAAAAGGCGAGGAAACACAAACTGGGTAGTAGGGAGAAGAGATGGCAGTGATGCCTAAGAAGACTCTAATACCAAGTTAAAATCATGACAGAGAAGAAGAAACAGCGCAACGCCTTTAGGTTTCTTGTGTGTAATATTTTCTCTCTTATATTACGTTATAATACTCTATACATATATATACTTATTGCTATAGTAGATAAACACAACTAGTACTAGATACACGGAAGGAGTCTATCATCTAGAAATTATCTTATCATGCTACAGCTATACTAGTATATGTAGGAGACCAGTGCTACTGGAACTTAGGCAGAGGCGTGAGCTTGTAGGAAGTGTAGCTATTGGAACTTAGGTAGAGGCATCAGCTGTAGGAAGTGCAACTGTGTTGGAGACCTTTGCAGAAGCGGAAGCAGCAGAGGCGTGTGAACCTTGGGCTTGTCTTAACACTTATCAAGTTAGGAATTCGATTCTCATTTATGAAAAATTTTTTCTTCCTTTTTTGTGACATTAAATATGAATTGCTAATGAACTCATAGAATTCGATTCTAGAATGGACTAATGATTTTTTCTTTAATCAATTAGTGAATTTTTCTTTTGACTTTAATCTCTAAAATATTCTTCTTCTTTTTTTAAAAAAAATTCTAATCTTTTTGTCTTTTAACTTTTTTTTCTAGGACATATTGGTTGCCGTGCTAATCTTTTAGCTAAACCAGGAAGGATAGACCCCGTGCACAGAAATATTGAGATTGTCGATAATATAATCAATTGCTGAAGGGTCAAATTGATATTAAATAATTGAGCCATAGGCAAACAAATTGGAGATACATCAATAGCATATAACACCACAAGTGACTAAATTAACTGCAAGTATGAATTTGTATGAGAGGATATGCAGCACAACAAAATAAAGCAGATTAAAGAAACTATAAATATATAATCGTTAGAGTAATATAAAATTATTTTTAGATTTTTATCTAATAATTTAAACTTTTGAATTGAAATAATTTTTTGACAATAATCATACAATAGAAGGGGAAAAAAACATCTAACACATTACTGAGAATAACCTGCTAGAAAAAGGTCACTAAATGTCACACTTACTGCAAGCATAGCTGCATCTTTTATCTATAGGTAAAGCCACTATAGAACATTAGCCCAAACATTGAATATCTTATGTTCAGTTCTAACGTTGTAGCTTACTCCATTTTCTCCATCTACTTCCCTAGTCAAAATTATCCTGTCTCCGATTACAAGCCCCTTTTCACGCACAAGCGACAACCAATCTCCAGTGATGACTGGTTTTGGGTAGCCATGAGCTCGATTAGAAAGCTTAAATTTCCAAATTTTTCCAAAGGTATCTCTCACTTCGAAATTTACAGTATTTTGGCCTTTTCCCATAGGAAAAGCCCAAAGGCTTTCGCTAGGAAATGCTAGACGGTTTGCTAGGTCTGTGGGGGTTAAAATCTTATCAACGAGTTCCACCATTGATGTTAGTAGTTTGAGCAACAGTAGTTAGGTTTTTAGAGGAGTTGGGATATGAGACTTGGAGAGCTCTTCTCATGTTAATTTATAGAGAGATGGTATTGCAGAGATTGCACGTTCACACATAACTCTTGTTCATTATCATGCGATAAAGAATTGATCCTAAAATCTTCGAATCTAATTATAAAACGATTTTCTTGTTGACTTGAAAACGTTGTACATTGGGTGATATGATCAGAAAATCATATATCATCAAAAAGTTGGTTGAATTATCAAAAGCTGCAAGGGTGGACTTGTGTGCTATTGAACCATAATGTTTAAGGTATAAACTATATGCAATTATTGCTGGTGTTTGACAAATTAAAGAACATATATTTGTTAATATCTAAATTTTTATATTGAAATAATTTTTTGATGAAAAATAATATAAATCAAATTCTATGATTTTATTTATCATTTTAAATTTTTGAATTAAAATAATTTTTTAATATAATATTAAAATCCCAATAACTAAATAGTTACGAGTAGGATATCACAAATTCACTTTCCAAATTCACTTCTGACGAGGTTTAAGCCACATAAATACAAATTCAATAGAGAGTTTTGGATTGAAATGGTTGTCTGACGAGGTTTAAGCCACATACATCATTTCTATATGTAAGACATCTGGCCATACAGCAAGGTAACCTAATACTACAAAGGGCTCAATAGGACACATAAGGTCATGTTAGACAAAAAGTGCTGTACTATCATGCACTTCCGCTTTTATTTTTGTCTTGAGACTTCAAAGTGCACCACTTCAACGAGATAAAGTGTTAAAATCTAGTTAAACGATAACATATGTTTGATACGCCACCATCTGATGAAGATTGTTGGCCAAATTTTAGTAGGGCCCATGACTGAATCAAATCCGCCTTTTCTTCTTCGTTCTCTGTTTTCTGGGGGCTCGCTGCATTCATCCTTTCTCCTTCTATTTCCCTATGCTGTTGCCTTTATTTTGGTTATGCTTGTTGTTTTCCGTGGTTTGGTCTTGCCTTTTATACTTGACCTGATACTTATCTATCCTCTCCCCATGGCTGCCTTTTGGTGTCTAATAAATTGTTGAGCTATCAAAAAAAAAAAAAAAAAATGTCATGCAACTGAAAAAGAAATGGGAGTTGTTGAGAAGCAGTGGATTCAAGACATGCAATTAAGAATTGTTCTCGCATGATCACTACACAATCCAACATTTCAGCGACTATGATAATGACATTGAGTCGGCAGTTCATTAAAAGGGTTTGATGTTGGTTTAATTGTTTTTGGTAATTTATGTGTTTATTAATTGGATAGGATTCTTTTTATTTCAGTCAGGGTTCTTAATTTATATTTCATGTATTGATAGCTTTGACGTTACTGGTTCTTAGGTCAGAAGTGTTCACGGGTTCGATTAGTGTTTCTTTTTTGGACTAGTTTTCAAGCTGTGCATTTTTTTTCTCAAGCTTTTGCTAAAGTTGTAATGTTTTTAGAGCTGACTTGTTTTCTATTGATCTATAATATTTAAGTAGTTAGGTTTCTAGAAGAGTTGTGGGATATGAGACTTGGAGTGCTCTTCTCATATTAATTTATAGTGTGATGATGTTGTGGAGATTGCACGTCCATAGTTAACTTTTGTTCATTATCATGCAATAAGGACATCGATCCTAGATTGTGCAATCTTAGCATCTAATTAGAAAAGAATTTTGTTGTTGACTTGAAAACGTTGTACATTCATTGATATGATCAGCAAGATCATTTATCATAAAAAACTTGACTTATGTGAAATGAAAATTAGATAGAAGATTTGACTTAATTATGTGTTTTTGAGTTATAATATTTAAGTCATAAACTATAATAAAATATTACCGGTGTTTGACAAATTAAAGCATATATGCACCGACTTGATTTTTTTCCTATTGTATTAATATATAATGAGACAGTTAAGATAGAGATTTTAGACTGAATGAACAATGTTTTTACTTGATATTATTCGAGACTGATTGTCCTTATATAGTGTTAGAAGTGGTGAGTTTGTTGAACTTTAGATATATACAAACGACTTAATTATCTACAATCGATAAGAGTTATCTACACACATCTTTACATAACGATATTTGAAGGAATCGAGGTTGTTGTTGTTTCAATGATTCGAGTTGTCGTTGAGAAGTGTAATAGGAGAAGAACTTGTAGCAGAATATGGATACCTAGTTACGGTAGACTTCGAGAATCATGTCTTACCACTCCCTTATCAATTGACGAGTGGGCGTTAGCCTAGTGTTAGTTTGTCCCTTAAGAATTCAAATCGATATTAGATAAAGGCTTCATAAAGATATCGGCTATCTAATCGTGACTTGAAATAAATTTAATCTATAGGCTCCCTCTTGCAACCAAGTCCACGACAAAGTGAAAATCAATTTCAATGTGTTTTATCTATATATGAAAAATAAGATTAACTACCAAGTAGGTGACACCTATATTATCACACTAGATAATAAGACTATGGATTGTTTAAACCAAATTCGGTGAGGAGGGAAGTCTCCAATGATATTTCGACAGACTAGGTCATCTACTACCTTGTACTCGACCTTGATAGAGTTGCGAGCCACTTGTTTTTTGTTTAAAAGATTTTTAAGAAATAATCTTTGGACCTCCATACACAACATAACCTCTTGTGGATTTTTGATCATCAATAGAGCCCGCCTAATCGAATCCGAGAAAGTAGAAAGAACTTGTAAGTTGGACCTCCGTAGATGAAGTCCATGGTTAGCAATATGTTTTAAGTAGGATAAGATATGTTTAACGAGTAACCCAATGATTTATTTTTGGATCATGCATGAATTGACACCTTGTTAACCGCAAAAGAAATATTTGGTCGAGTTAATATGACATACTACAAAGCACCAACAACTTGGCCATACAAAGTAGGGTCTTCATAGGTAGAGTTATCATGCTTTGTTAATTTGGACGTGATTGGCATTGGTGTAGATACTTGGATGATAAGAAACCATTCCATGTTTAGACATAATTTCAATAATGTATTTCCTTTGTGAGAGGACCATCCCCTGTGCGGTTTTAACAACCTTGACACCAAAAAAAAAAAAAAAAACTAATGTATCCAAGGTCACGGATGGCAAATCTAGAGTTCATAGCCGATGTCACGATTAAAGAAAGAAAAAATTATTACCCGTGATTAAGATATCATCAACGTAGACAAGAAGGAAAATTCGTTATTGTTCACATGATAAATAAACAGAGATGAATTAGTTTGCGAGCCCACAAAATCAAAAACGAGCAGGAAGTCTTGAAGATAAGAAAACCAAGCTCGTGGTGATTGTTTCAAGCCATAGAGCGATTTATGTAGTTTGCACACATAGTGAGGAAATTGATTATGAACAAATCCGATCAATTGTAACATAAACACATCCTCGGCAAGACTCCCATTTAGAAAAGCATTATGAATGTCTAATTAGTGAATCCCTTAACTAAAAGAGATCGCCAAAGCAAGAACACATCGGATGGTTAAAGGTTTAACCACATGATTGAATGTTTTCCTATAGTCGATGCGTTCTTGCTAATGATATTCCTTAATAACCAGCCTTGCTTTATATCGTTCAACGATGCCATCTTTTTTTTTTTAATTTTAAATACATATTTATTGCCTATAACATTCATTCAAACTATTTGAGGTACCAAACTCAAGTATGAGTTTGTAGAAGGGCATTAAATTCTACAATTATAGCCAATCTCCATTTTATAAATTTCTTTGCTTCGGTGTAACAAGATGGTGTTTCGAAATTTGGCTAAAAGAGACAACCAAAGCAACATATGGCTTGGATAATGAACCTTTTGAGTGGAGCACCATAAGATGAGTTCTTTGGGGTTTCTCAACAGATTGTAGGTTAGTAGTTGGTTTTGAAGGTTCCAATCATATTGATAAAAATCGAACACTAAGTTTAGGCTAGATGGGGCAAAGGTGGAGTTATTGAGAGAGAAAGAAAAGGTTACTATAGGTGATGGTTTTGAGAGGTCGGGCAAGTTGTGTTTATGGAGGATTGGAGAGGCTAAGCTTTGGGTGGAAGTGAAGAGTGAGGAGGATGAAGGTCACTATTCTTACAATTTGAAAGAAGCTACGGGGTATGGTTTTATGATTTAGGGCGAATTTGTTATAGCAAAAAAGGTAAAAACATGCTTTGGTGTGGTTAGTAGGGCACTTAAGGTAGTGGGCTAGGCTTGAAGGAGTGGAGGTGCGGGTGTGGATAGGTAAGAATGGGCTGGAGCTTTGTGTTGTTTTATGATGAGGTGAGCTCGTGGGATGACGGGCCGATAGAAGTAAGTGGGTTGGACCTCGAAGTGTAAGGGTTGGCCGGTGAACGTTTGGCCGGTGAATGCTACCGACTCGTAGAAAGAAAGTGAGAAGCAAAATTTAGGTGCTGGACAAGAAAGCAACCCCAAGGTGAAGCAAAAGGCGTGAAGACAAAAATTGGTTTCAAAATGTCTTTTTGAGCTTATGAAAAAATAATTTCGACAAAACGAACTTGTCGGGTAATATAAAATTGATTTATAGTTTGGTCAAGACAATGATACCCTAAATGAGATGGATTGTAGCTAAGAAAAATATAAGGAGTCGAAGAAAATCCATTTTATGTTTGTTATAGGGATGTAAACATAGGAAGCAATGACAATCAATTTTTTTTTAATATAAAAAATGTAGTTTGGTTATTTTTTAAATACAAATTCAAAAGGTGATTTATTTTTAAAAATAGGCGATGGCATTCGATTTATTAGGAATATTGCAGTTTAAAAAAAAATGCCAAAATTTTCAAGAAACCTCAACTTCCCTTAATAACGTATGACCTTTTTTGACAATGTGATGGTGTCGTCTCGCACCAGTATCATTTTTTTTTTGTGTATGAGGACATATTATACGATGAATGATACTAATAGTATAAAAAAAAATTAGTTAGATCGCTAAATTCTCCACCCTAATCGGTTAAAATTTGTTTGATTTTATAATTAAATTGACGTTCAACCATTTTTTGAAAATGAACAAAAGTAGCAAAGACATCCGATGTTTATATAATGAGAAATACCAAACATGCTTGGAAAAGTGATTTATGATGACTAAGTAATATTTGTTGCTATAAATTGAAGCAATAGGATAAGGTCATAATACATCACCGAAAATTAAATTAAAAAACTAAATACTCAAATTTGGAGATGAAGAAAAATAATAGATGACTTGCATGTCCTAGTAGATAAGACAAGCAAAGGCTAATTAATTTGGAAGAAGATGATAGACCATGATTTTTCAAAATAGAAGCTTAGACATTTTCATACGGATGACCCAATCTGGAGTGTCAAATATTTAGAGAAGCATGAACAGAGAGAGCATGAGGAGTGGACATAGTGGAATGAGGCGGAAAGTAGAGGTCGGCATCATTTAGGCTTGAAAGAAGAGGAGTCTTATGCATTTGGTCCTTTAGGCTAAAAGAAGAAGGTTGAAACTCCCAACATAAATTATTATCTTGTATAAGTCCTTCGATAGAAAATAAAGGTCTAGTTTTTTTAGGGACATGAAGAACATCAAACTATTTTAAAGTTTTAGAATGGGTGTGAATATGACTTGAACCAATGTGAATATGATGAATGGGTAAATACTCACCATTACCAATCTATAATTGGCCAACACATAGATAGGGCTCATAAGTATTGATACTTGCTAAATTCGAGGTCACATGGTAAGAAACACCTATGTCAAGACATTATGATTGAGGATTTAAAGCAAAGGAGTTGAAAATAGAGAGATTTGCGAGAGGAAGGAAAAGGGTGTGACATCCATTAGGGGTAATTTATTGCCACGTGATTTCAAGAGGAGCAAATTTGACATTTGTTTCAATGTTCATTTTGAGACTAATTACCCTTGTTGTCGGCACCAAAATTTAAAACTTACTTATTAAAATTTTGACCACAGACCTCTCTCATGGAAAGAGCAACCCTTATCATAATTTAGATTGCTAAGACATTTAGTAGAAAAATTTATGGTTTTATAGATTAATTTCCAGCTGGTGGAGTGGGTAACAAACATAGACTTGATAGAGAAAGAGAGAGATTAATTAGAGGAGGAGTCATAAAATAAAAACTTATGGCTAAGCAAGTATAATGTGGAGATTAGAGAAATTGATTGGTTTTGATCACATGGATAATGTAGTAACAATATCCTTGCGATTGCTTTGGATAATCCTATGAACATTTACAGATTGAAATCAATGGTTGAAAGAGAACGCCTAACTGCAGTGAGTTCATCATTGTAGGATTTTGCATGCTTGTAGGTATTGAGAAATAGGTTCATGGGGTTCTTGGCATAATTTTTGAAGGGAAAGGTACAAGGTCATTAAATGGGTGTTAGAAGGAGAGGTAAAAACAGGCTCAAGAATGGACCATACCTTTCGAGATGTGATGCGATCAATAATCATTAGGAGAATTTCAATAGAGAGAGAGAAGATAAGAGTGCTTATAAGCGACTGATCTCGTCGAACCCAAGTGATATAATGTTGAAAGGATTAAGGTGGGGTAGATTTAACTATGTCAATTTGATTAGAAGGGTAAGGATTAGATCCATCAATAAAGCCGAAAAGATCTTGCTCAAGAAGGAATGGTTTCATTTGAACACACTATAACAGGAAATTGAAGTTGGTGAGCTTTAGAGAGATAAAATGGTGGGCATAGGTTAGTTGATCGAATGGGGTAGGTTATGTGTGATTTATGATGGAGCGACAAGTGGATGAAGAAGTATTAGTAGAAGAAACCATTGGATAGTGAGTTGGAATAATTTGGAAGGATTTAGCTAAATGAGGAAAAAATGGGATTTTGGCTAGTATAAGAGAAAAAATGACTTGGCTAGTAGGAAGAGAAAAAATGATAATGTTGCATTTTGTAAGCTCGATACCAAGTTAAAACAGAGATGTAAGATTGAATGAATAATGTCTTTGCTTGATGTTATTCGGAGACTAGTTGTCCTTATATAGTGTTAGAAGTAGTGACTTTGTAAAACTCTAGATATGTACAAACTACTTAATTATCCACAATTAATAAGAGTTATTTATGCACATCTTTAGAGAACAACATCTAAAGGAATCAAGTTGTTATTATCTCGAAGGATTTAGATTGTTGTTGAGAAGTCTAATACGAAAAGAACTTGTGGTTGAAAATGAAGACCTAGTTATAGTAGACTTCTTAGACTCATTTCTTGACGGGGACCAATTTCTTATACCAATTGCATTATTCTCTAATCCCCATCTAACAAGTGATATGCTAGCCCTTCTAGCCTCATCTAGACATATGTCTTTAAATGCGTCATTTCCATTATCATAATTGTGTTTTCATTGCTTGTTGGAAGAAGTATAATACAAAAGGAAGCTAATATTTGCCTTTTTTTTTTTTTTTTTGCAATTTTGGCTAAAACATAATTTAGCATTTTCTTCTTCCTTGTCATATGGTGTGGACTTTTTGATGTCGGATTATATCTTGATGGGATATTTATTAGGTTATTGAATAGTTTAGTCAATGATAATTAATATATAAATTTGTAAAGTTGAGAAAGAGCTTATTTTAACCGAAACCTCATTGTAGAATAATTACCCCTTTTTCACAAGTTAAATTTTAAATATTACATCCGGCTCTTTAAAAGAAATAAAATTTAATTTATAACACAAATATATTTATAATCTATTCAAATCACTCATATGCATCATTTCATTCGTAAGAATAAAATCGGATCTATACGGTTAGATAGTTAAGATTGGGTTCCATCCAAAGGACTTAAGCTTTATAGTGGGTGACCACTTCTCAACTTTATATATTATTTATTATTGGTTTAATTATTTAATGTGAGATATGTTTTAACACTCTCTCTTACTTGCAGCCCATCTTTTTGGGGTATGTCAAGTGTCTTCGATTGTAGGATCTTTCTTTGGACCGTTGGGCCTTTTTAAAACTACGATACCATATAAAGTTAGATAGTTGAGATTGGGTTCTATCCAAAAGACTTAAGCTTTATAGTGGGTGACCCCTTCTCAACTTTATATATTATTTATTATTGGTTTAACTATTCAATGTGGGATATGTTCTAACAAGATCCAACTTTTAAAGATCGAGTAGAAATTTTTATTGGTTGACCAATCGGATCTTCTTACTTTTTTTCTCACCAAATCTCAACTTTGTGACCATGGTTGACCAAATCTCAATTATAATTGCCTTTGATAATGCGCACGAAGATTAACAAAAGTTTACATGTGACGTTGGTTTAATACTTGTAATTAACATCACAATATATATATATATATATATATATATATATATATATATATAAATTAACTCTTATAATATTGGCATTCTGAGCATTATTGAGTTGAAAAGTCTACTCATCACATAATTATTATATAGATTCTTTTTTCATATTTATATAAAAAGATGAGTTTCTCCGTCAGAATATATATATATATATATATATATATATATATATATATAAATAAAGGGTATTTTAACTAAAATTTTTGATAACTACTTTGCTGATGTAGTTATTTTTATCTATGTGTAAGCATTTTCCAGCATGTACATCATTTTCTTCGAGTCTCATGTACCATATATCATTTTTGAACTTGCTATAGTATATACATTTATAAATGTAATCATTCGGTCTTCAGTTTGGTTTCTCGCAATTTCGATTTGATTTTTTATTAACAGAATATACAAAAACAAAAACCAACTTGAACCGAATCACTATTGGGTTTTTCAGTTTAAATAAATTTTATTTTTATATATTTTTTTAAAATAATGTAAATATACTTAAAAAACCATCAATCTATCATATATCTATAATTTAGATACTGATTTTTTTATTTTATTTGTATTATTTTAAAACTAATAAATTAGAAATAAGTAAATATTTTTTTGTTTAAGACAAACCCAAAAAAAAATCTTTTTGTTTTTTTTTTAATTTTGAGTTAAAAACCGAACTAAAATTGATATTTAAATTTAATTTAGGTAATTTTTCGACTTAAACTAAATAGTATTCACTCTTACATACACAAACAGGGAATTGCTAATCTGCCTACCATCGTGCCCATTTTTCTTATACAATAATACCTTTATTCC